CAGACTGACTGTAGATAGAACAGTGGGAGGGATTTCCCTCCGGCTTTGAGACGTCTGTGAGAGCACCAACCTCAGGCAGCTGCGCCTTGCTGCCGAAGCCGTTGAGACCTGGCTTGAAAAACAATCGACTAGGGCATGCTTGCACCATCCTAGCTACATTCTTGCCCCGATGGGTGATCTTTGAACTTGCTTGCAGAATCAATTACGGCAGTAGTTTTCTTCAACTTGAACATACCACGTTTATCTCTGCGCATTGCGACTGACTGGCTCAGTTCTCCGGCTTTGTCTTTGACACGTAACTGAATTTAGTGTTTTTGTTGCGCTACGTTAGTTGTTGTTACTGAGAAGTTGCAGAATGCAAACTCTCTCTCTCTCTCTCTCTCTCTCTCTCTCTCTCTCTCTCTCTCTCTCTCTCCATGTCTATCTGTCTGTCTCTCCATCCCTCTCTCTATGTGTCTATCTGTCTGTCTCTCCCCCTCTGTCTGTCTGTCTCTCCATCCCTCCCTCTCTCCCTGTGTCTATCTGTCTCTCCCTCCCCCTCTCTGTCTCTTTCTGCATATACCGCCCAGGTTTTGTGTATTTTGTTTGATATTCATATTATGTCTATTGATGAACAGACATGCTGTATAAATCATATACCATTGCTTTGTGAAAGATGAATCTCTCTCAGTGGTGCGTGCGTGCGTGTGTGTGTGAAACAAATGACTGACTGAGAGGCTTGAATGTAAGGCAGGCCTGCGTGCCCAGTTTGTGACCATTTAAACATAACGTTGATTCTTGTCCTACCTCACACCCTCTCTCAATGTATGCATCTAATTTGTAAACACAGAGAATGGAACCTATATCAACCGGTCATGACGCTAAGCGATCAACCTGATCACATTTGCATGCGACACACAAAGCCTATTAGAAACGCTGTGCCTTTGGGAAATTATCTTTAGATTCTTCAAACCCGCCTACACCCTTCAAAGCCTACACAAGTTTGTACTAATGCTGGATTTATGTCCGTGGACACTTCCTCACAATCTTCTGCTCACGGGCGTCACGTGATTGATTGTCTTGGACACGAGCGCCAGTGAGAGTGACCTATAGAGAGGGGGGGGGGGGGGGGAGAGAAGAAGAAGACGGATTAAGTAGGTAGGTGATGAAAGAACTTTGTCTCGACTGTAAAACAGGGGAATAAAAGAACTAACTTAATGAGATGTGAGCACTGACTGACAGATCAGGGGATCAGAGGGAGAAGTAAGCACAGATCGTCACACCTCCACTTCCCCTTTATATTTTGTGCGCCTAGGTCACCGTGTACGTGTATAGTGGTCAACTAGTGCTCACCAACACACACATACACGTGACACTGAGACGTGACACTGAGACGTGACAAAGGCAATAGCAGGGCGCGAGTCTACGTGAAATTGGCTGGACAGTATACAGAACTTTTTTTTTTAAAAATCACCTTAGGCAAAGAAAATCCCGCAGTTCTGGAGAAAATCCAATATTCTTAGGGTGTTGTTATTTTGGGGTTAGGGTTAGAGTTAAAGTTAGGGTGAGTCGGTGTCTCTGAGGCGGTCGGGGCTCATAAAGATCCTAACCTCAACCCTTAAAACCCCTAGAATATTGGTCTTTCCTGTGAACTCCGGGATTCCATTTATTTGGGGTAAATTAAAAATAAAGCACCCAGTGCTTTTTTTTAGGGGGGGGGGGGGGGGGGGTAGGGGTGGGGCAAGGGGGCATACTACGTGACGCAAAGTTACTGATGTTTACTTATGCTGCATTATGATTGTAAAGTAAATTGGGTTATTTTATTTCACCCCATCTCTGAGATTCCGAGATTTCAAAGGAAACTAGAAACTCCAATATTAGGCGCACACACACGCGCCCGCGCGCACGCACACACACACACAGAGAGAGAGAGAGAGAGAGAGAGAGAGAGAGAGAGAGAGAGAGAGAGGGTCCCGAAACCCACACGGGTTCTGGCTAATAACAGCTGTGATCAGTACAAAGTCGAGGCGTTCGCATTAGTATTAGTAGCAGCAGCAGCAACAGCAGTAGATGTTGTATTAGTAAACGCAATGGTGGTAGTTGTAGAAGAAAGAAAGAGGGGAGATGAAGGAATGATAATGTGTATAAAAGCCGCATAAAACAATGACACATACAGTGACGACATATGTCAACGTCTAACCAGTAGCATAGGCCAAGTATGTGCTGTACAAGGATCGGTAATTGTAAAATAAAGCAGCAAGAAACATACAAATGGCACACAGACCCACATCACAGCAATATATATCACCCAACACATGCGGTTCGCATGCCAAGGTGTCTTGTTACCACCAGTCAAGGCGAACAGGTCACTGGCTAGCTTCTTTTCGTTTCTAAGCCTGTAGGTATTTCAAGTATCCGAGTAGTTGTGATGTCATTTGTTGTCCTCTATGATCCCTGAGATCGGCATAGACGCCCCAATACGCTTGCACCAGGAACCCCCCCCCCCCCCCCCTTTTTTTCCCAGAAGTCAGACATGAAGTATGTGGTGCATTCTTGGTAGGACAATCAGCAGAGTAGATGTGACGCTATCACAGTGGATATAGTTTAATGGAATTCTGTTATAGCAGTCACAACTGCTGAAATGTTGCTGTTGCAACAGTCACCACTGCTGGAATGTTGCTGTTGTAGCAGTCACCACCCCTGGAATGTTGTTGTTGTAGCAGTCACTGCCCCTGGAATGATGATGTTGTTGTAGCAGTCAGCACTGCTAGAATGTTTTTGTCCATGATACCACTGTTTGAACTTTGAAATAATGGTTTCAATTTTGTAGTAATCCGCAAGAGGACACTTAAAGAACAGGAGACATACTACAGAAGGGGAACTAAACAGTTGTCCGCGTATTATTGTCGACGTAATTGCGATTAACGCATCGACGGTAATACATCGACAGTAAACCACAACACAACTGCATTATTACATTGACAGTAATATAAGAGCAGTAATATATCTACAGTAATACTGTTCGAATAGTATATGAGCACAGATTACATGCTACCATAGAAGACAGAAAGAAACATATTTTATAAATAGCGCTAATTTTCCCTAGATTTATTACAACCACTACGGTTTATTGTAGATAGAAATGTAGGCATTCCAGTGATTGTACTGAATATTTTGATGCTTTTGATAATGTTTATTACTTGATGTCTGAATGAAATGAGGTCAGAATGGAGGGAGACCTCGAAGGGCAGAATGTTAGACGGGTCCAATTCTTAACCCCTTTAAAAAAAGTGTGTTTGTTCGTTCGTTCTTTTCTTCCCTGGGTATTCGAGATGGCCAAGAGATAGCCAACCTCGGCACACACTGACTGACTGACTGACTGACTGACTGACTGACTGACTGACTGACTGACTGACTGACTGACTCACTCACTCACTCTCACTCACTCACTCACTCACTCACTCACTCACTCACTCACTCACTCACTCACTCACTCACTCACTCACTCACTCACTCACTCACCCACCCACCCACCCACTCACTCACTCACTCACTCACTCACTCACTCACTCAATTACCCGCTCACTCACTCACCCACTCACTCACCCACTCACTCATTCGCTAGGAAAACTAAAACAACAAAGACAGTGTTTTACCAACACAACAAAACCCGTGCATGTTTGGAGAAACCATTACCCGCCTCCAGGAATCCACCGTTTGTTAGGACCCCCCTCCTCCTCTCCCTCTTTCTCTTTTCTTGTCTCTCTCTCTCTTCTCTTGTCTCTCTCTTCTTGTCTGTCTGTCTGTCTGTCTGTCTCTCTCTCTCTCTCTCTCTCTCTCTCTCTCTCTCGTTCTGTGTCTGTTGACAGAATTATTGCATGTTTGCTGTTTCTGTTGAGAGAATATGGCAAGTTTGCTGTTTCTGTTAAGAGAATATGGCATGTTTGCTGTTTCTGTTGAGAGAATATGGCACGTTTGCTGTTTCTGTTGAGGGAATATGGCAAGTTTGCTGTTTCTGTAAAGAGAATATGGCATGTTTGCTGTTTCTGTTGAGAGAATATGGCATGTTTGCTGTTTCTGTTGAGAGAATGTGGCACGTTTGCTGTTTCTGTTGAGGGAATATGGCATGTTTGCTGTTTCTGTTGAGAGAATATGGCATGTTTGCTGTTTCTGTTGAGGGAATATGGCATGTTTGCTGTTTCTGTTGAGGGAATATGGCATGTTTGCTGTTTCTGTTGAGAGAATATGGCATGTTTGCTGTTTCTGTTGAGGGAATATGGCATGTTTGCTGTTTCTGTTGAGAGAATATGGCATGTTTGCTGTTTCTGTTGAGAGAATATGGCATGTTTGCTGTTTCTGATGAGAGAATATAACATGTTTGCTGTTTATGTTGAGAGAATATGGCATGTTTGCTGTTTCTGTTGAGAGAATATGGCATGTTTGCTGTTTCTGTTGAGAGAATATGGCATGTTTGCTGTTTCTGTTGAGAGAATATGGCATGTTTGCTGTTTCTGTTGAGAGAATATGGCATGTTTGCTGTTTCTGTTGAGAGAATATGGCATGTTTGCTGTTTCATGTTTAAATAATTATTGCATGTTTGCTGTTTCTGTTGAGGGAATATGGCATGTTTGCTGTTTCTGTTGAGAGAATATGGCATGTTTGCTGTTTCTGTTGAGAGAATATGGCATGTTTGCTGTTTCTGTTGAGGGAATATGGCATGTTTGCTGTTTCTGTTGAGGGAATATGGCATGTTTGCTGTTTCTGTTGAGAGAATATGGCATGTTTGCTGTTTCTGTTGAGAGAATATGGCATGTTTGCTGTTTCTGTTGAGAGAATATGGCATGTTTGCTGTTTCTGTTGAGAGAATATGGCATGTTTGCTGTTTCTATTGAGAGAATATTGCATGTTTGCTGTTTCTGTTGAGGGAATATGGCATGTTTGCTGTTTCTGTTGAGGGAATATGGCATGTTTGCTGTTTCATGTTTAAATAATTATTGCATGTTTGCTGTTTCTGTTGACAGAATCGCGAGAGTGTGGTGCCTCAGATGTTGACGTTGGCGCAGATGTTCGGATCTGACAGCGGCTACGTGGGCGGCGACAACAACAACCACTGTGATGCTGACAGTGAGAAGGATGTGAGTAGTACGTGTTGTAGACATGTCCAACTTTAGGGCTTTTATAGATCCTTAAGCACCCTAGGAGATAGGGCCGACTTGATGTCTTCCCCTGTTGGCTGTATTCTGTGCAGTGTCTTCCCCTGTTGGCTGTATTCTGTGCAGTGTCTTCTCCTTGTTTGGCTGTATTCTGTGCAGTGTCTTCTCCTTGTTTGGCTATATTTGGTGCAAAGTCTTCTGAAGTTGGCTGTATTCTGTTTAAAGTCTTCCCAAGCTGTCTGTATTCTGTGCAATGTCTTTCCAAGATGGTTATGTGCTCTGCAGTGTCAGCGATGTTGCTTACACAAAATCTGCCACAGTTGGCTCTGTTCTCTACAGTCAGTCTCTCGAAGTGTTCATTTCTCTGAAAAGAGTATCCGGATGTTTTGTTACCTGTAGCAGGTATTCGACGTGTTCAATGTATTCTTCATAGCATTTACAGATTCCTGTCTGTCTGACTGCAGACGATTACATCTTATTGTTACTGTTGATCATCTGTCAATGTCCAGTCATCTACATTAGAACTCTTATGTCTGCCTTACTGTTTGCCATTTCTTCCTTCCCTCCCCCTCCCTTTCCCCCCGTCTGTCTCTGTCTTTTCCCCCCTGTTTTTCTTTCTCTTTAAATTCTGTCAGTTATCTGTCAGCACCCTAGCCTGTCTATGTCCCAATCTTGATTACCTGTTTAACATCAGTTTAATATTACAAATGAAGTCAACTCTACAGACATTGAGAATCTCCCAAAGATTCCCTTCGCCAGCCTGTTCGTGAGCTGGTTTCCACTTAATCAGACTCAACCGCGTGAGTGTGTGAGTGAGTACATCACACAACTGCAGGGCGAGCTGACCCGACGTGCAACAATTCTGCAGAAATGAGTCAGGCGCTATTTTCAAAAGCCGCCAAAAACAACGAGTACACCGCACGGTGATTTGATTCTTCATTCTCAAATGCCGAAGTGGCTTCTTTGGCTGCAGTTCAATTTGTGGCAGGTAAATTGTGGGCTGGCAGGTATTAGAACAAGTGGGCTGGTAGATGGTAGGCTAGGAAATAACAGAAAGTGGGCTGGGAGATGGTAGGCTAGAGGATATAACAGGAAGTGGGCTGGGCGATGGTAGGTTAGAGAATATAACAGTAAGTGGGCTGTGAGATGGTAGGTTAGAGGATATAATAGGAAGTGGGCTGGGAGATGGTAGGCTAGGGGATATAACAGGAAGTGGGCTGGGAGATGGTAGGTTAGAGGATATAATAGGAAGTGGGCTGGGAGATGGTAGGTTAGAGGATATAACAGGAAGTGGGCTGGGAGATGGTAGGCTAGAGGATATATAGTAAGTGGGCTGGGAGATGCTAGGCTAGAGGATATAAAAGGAAGTGGGCTAGGAGATGGTAGGCTAAAGGATATAAAAGGAAGTGGGCTGGGAGATGGTAGGTTAGAGGATATAAAAGGAAGTGGGCTGGAAGATGGTAGGTTAGAGGATATAACAGGAAGTGGGCTGGGAGATGGTAGGTTAGAGGATATAACAGGAAGTGGGCTAGGAGATGGTAGGCTAGTATATAACAGGAAGTGGGCTGGGAGATGGTAGGCTAGAGGATATAACAGGAAGTCGGCTGGGAGATGGTAGGTTAGAGGATATAACAGGAAGTGGGCTGGGAGATGGTAGGTTAGTATATAACAGGAAGTTGGCTGGGAGATGGTAGGCTAGTATATAACAGGAAGTGGGCTGGGAGATGTTAGGCTAGAGGATATAACAGGAAGTCGGCTGGGAGATGGTAGGTTAGAGGATATAACAGGAAGTGGGCTGGGAGATGGTAGGTTAGAGGATATAACAGGAATTGGGCTGGGAGATGGTAGGCTAGAGGATATAACAGGAAGTGGGCTGGGAGATGGTAGGTTGGAGGATATAACAGGAAGTGGGCTGGGAAATGGTAGGTTAGAGGATATGACAGGAAGTGGGCTGGGAGATGGTAGGTTAGAGGATATAACAGGAAGTGGGCTGGGAGATGGTAGGTTAGAGGATATAACAGGAAGTGGGCTGGGAGATGGTAGGCTAGAGGATATAACAGGAAGTGGGCTGGGAGATGGTAGGTTAGAGGATATAACAGGAAGTGGGCTGGGAGATGGTAGGTTAGAGGATATGACAGGAAGTGGGCTGGGAGATGGTAGGTTACAGGATATAACAGGAAGTGGGCTGGGAGATGGTAGGTTAGAGGATATAACAGGAAGTGGGCTGGGAGATGGTAGGTTAGAGGATATGACAGGAAGTGGGCTGGGAGATGGTAGGTTTAGTGAGGATATGACAGGAAGTGGGGGCTGGGAGATGGTAGGTTAGAGGATATAACAGGAAGTGGGCTGGGAGATGGTAGGTTAGAGGATATAACAGGAAGTGGGCTGGGAGATGGTAGGTTAGAGGATATAACAGGAAGTCGGCTGGGAGATGGTAGGTTAGAGGATATGACAGGAAGTGGGCTGGGAGATGGTAGGTTAGAGGATATAACAGGAAGTGGGCTGGGAGATGGTAGGTTAGAGGATATAACAGGAAGTGGGCTGGGAGATGGTAGGTTAGAGGATATGACAGGAAGTGGGAAACATAACAACTAAATGCTGGTTATTGCTCAACACTTTGAAGATGCATTCCAGGAAAAAAAGCACACTATTGCAGTCTGGGTGGATATGGAAAAGGCCTTCGACAAAGTGTGGAAAAATGGGCTGAAACAAAAGCTACTTGAAAGTGGAATATCCCATCACATGCTTGGATGGATCGTAAAATATCTTGAAAATCGATCTGCAAGAGTCAAGATACAGGGTTCAAGGAGCAGACCAGTCTCAATGACACATGGAGTTCCACAAGGCGGAGTTCTGTCCCCAATTCTTTTCCTAGTTTACATTAACGACATAAAATCAACCCTCTGTAATGGAGTTCAAGCCGTTATGTATGCCGATGATCTGGCGCTACTGAGTTCAGAGGAGGTCACTGAAAAAGCACAGACAAGGCTTCAAGAATCCCTCGGAACTCTAGAGAGGTGGTCCAATAGCTGGTACATGCCTGTAAATGGGGCCAAAACCACACACACCATTTTCAGTCTCTCTACCAAACCCCATAAAGTTTCACTTAGATATGGCAGCCAGGCACTGATACATGATGACTCACCGTCATATTTAGGAGTAACCTTTGACTCAAGACTCACATGGAGAAAACATATAGAAAAGACACAGAGCAAGGGACTCAAGAGAACACAACTGATGAGGAAGTTAGCTGGAACAGACTGGGGGGCAAACCTCAATGTCCTTAAGAGGACCTATACAGGCTATGTGAGGCCAACACTAGAATATGGAATAGCTGCTTGGGGCACAGCAGCTAAATCAAATTTTCAAAAAGTCTCAAAGATCCAAAACAATGCTCTCCGTATTATGACAGGGGCAATGCGCTCCACGCCCATATCAGATATGGAAACAATTACTGGTCTCCATAATCTGGAAGATAGGAGAGACACAAAGATCCTCACCCAGCTCTCCAAATACCACCACTTTCAAGAACAACCCATGTACAGCCGACTGCAGAAACCCCAGAAGGCTAGACTAAAGAGAACTTGCTTTATTAAGAACGCAAATGCCAAGCTCGCTGTCCTTAAACTCCCTCCCATAATACCAAATGTTCCACTTAAACCTTACAACGCATGCCCCGCTTGGCTTAGGGATAGCCTACCAACAGTCAGAACCACTGTAACAGGGGTCTCCTCCAAATCATCAATGAGCAGCACTGATATGAAATCAACTACAGAAGGAGAGATCAATAGACTTTACCCACACCAGAGTTGGATTCGAGTGTATACAGATGGTTCAGCCAAGAGAGCAGTAAGAGACGGAGGAGGAGGAATATACATAGAATGCCCAAATGGTTTAAAAATCAACCAGGCTGTACCAACAGGTTCATATTCCTCCAATTACAGATCAGAGGCAGAAGCACTTCTAGCGGCATGTTCTTTCCTGAATGGACAACAGCACAGCAAATATAGCAGAGTGGTCTTTCTGACTGATGCTATGTCAGTTCTACAAGCAATTGTTAACCCAAAAGACACGCAGTTTGTAGACTTGACGCAACAGCTGATTTACTTAGGCTCTTCAGTAGAACAACCTGTACTGCAGTGGATTCCAGGTCACTGTGGCTTGGAAGGCAATGAAATAGCGGACAGATTGACCAGAAGCGGCAGTGACATGGTACAACCAAATAGCGACTTAACCCACCAAGAGATGAAAACACTAATACAATCTAGTATCCAAGAAAGGTGGCTGGATACCCACACCAGATTTTCTCCCCAAGACTCACTTCATCGCCTCTCTAGAGAGGGACAGTCTATTATATTCAGACTAAGGACAGGGCACAACAGATTTCGTCAACATATGTTCAAATTTTTCGGTGTAGGAAATACGGAGACGTGTCCCTGCAGCGTGGCACCCGAAAATGCTGAGCATGTGCTCCAACACTGTCAACTGTATGCTGACAACAGAGACGCAATCTGGCCTGTTTCAACCACAATAAAGACAAAGCTGTATGGTACACAAGAGGATATGGATTGCACGATAGCTTTCATAAAGGCTACCGGCCTCCTGATATAAGTTTTCTGACAGAAGGATCGAAGAAGAAGAAGAAGAACTCGATATATAAAACAGCAAGTGGGCTCTGAAATATAACAAAAAGCCGACTGGGAGATATAACAGCAAGTGGGCGGGGAGCTATAATTGCAAGTGGGTTGGTTTGCCTGTCTGTCTGTCTTTATCTATCTGACTGCATACCTGTCTGAAACACCTCTGATTCCGTAATCTTTCAGTTGAGTGGTCACGCTCCGCCTGCTTGTCCCTGCCTCCGTTCATCTGTTCACCTGTCATTGTTTCCTTCCATACATATGTGTTCATCTTTTCATCCTTCCTTCCATCAACAGGTACATTCTCTCTCTCTCTCTACCTATCTCTTCTCTCTGTCTGTCTGTCTCTCTCTCTCTCTATCTCGCTATCTCTCGCTCACATGCACACAGATACACAGTCAGTCCTATACTTACCGACCCCTTGCTTGTCCGTCCACTCTTATCCAAATATTCTCTCTTCCACCCACTCATCCACCCACTCATCCACCCACCCATCCAAAGTACCCTGACCATATGTGTAACCCCTCATACATTGCTGGTTTGTGACGTCATACTTGATCATTCCGCCGTTGGGCGTCATGGAAACCAAGTGGGCGTCACCTAGGAACACCAGCAGATGTGCACAGACAAGTGCCGGGTCAGTCCAAGGACACTAAACAATAATGGCGCGAAGTAACCGAGCTACTGATTGCCTTAAGTGTTTCGTGTCATCAACTCAGCGTCTCTGTGACCGCTCGCCCAGGACACACCTCTAGCTTCTACTTGCCGCTGAAATCTTGATTTTAAAAAATACATTGTTTTTCTCCAACATTCGCTACACAATTTACACGGTGAAAATGTAAAACTAATTTATCATATAGTTTAATGGACACAAGAGACTGCACAATTCTTTTTTTGTTTGTTTTGTTTCAACATTCGGCAGCCGACGTGGTGTAGCAGCTAGACCCTGCTGATGCGAAGGTCGTGGGTTCAAAAAGGAACGGAGCCACACGCTTTTCAAAAATGACCTTGGCTCCTGAGTGGACCTAACATTCAGTGGGTACCAGGTACACTCCTGGGAAGTAAAGACGGCAGGCAGGATGTGGACCGCATCACCATCGATGCCCAATACGCCTAAAATGTTCTCTACTTTACAAAATTTATTTGATTTGTCGAAATATAATCTTTTATAAATGTATACTGTGAATCAGTTGCTTACACACTCACTTACCCCGTACATGTACACACGCACTTACCCCGCACACGTACAGTCACTCACCCTGCACACGTACACACACACTCACCCTGCACACGTACACACGCTCACACACACAGTGTAATTATATATTCCGTTTGTGTTCCGGGGCCTCTTGGGGGGTCGTGGGGGGGGGGGGTGGTGGTGAGGAAAGCTCCCCCTATCAAACACGTTGTTATAGGCGACTAATTAGGGCTGTTTCCTTCCGTCGAAGAATGTCAGCCATATGGGTGAACAACCAACAGCCTGCATCAAATGAACCAGTTCCGTGAAACGGAAGTGCTCGTAAAACCGAAGTTCTGGAACAAGGCTTAAGTCCATAGGTGGACGAACAACCATAACTTTCTGATGGATCCCCCCCCCCCCCCTCAGGTTGGTGTTAAACTCACTGAGTCCTTTATTTCCAAACGGAACCTGGGAAGCAGCCATTTCATCTGGGTGTTGAAGATTTCCAGTCGACCCTGGTTACGCCATATTGGCTATACCCTACCTCCCCATTTTGAACAGTGGTGTCTCTGTTTGCGTCAACTCCTCCCATCACCCAGGTATACCTACCCAGTTTTCGCTTCCCGTCCGCGCGGTAGCGATATATAGGTTAGTACCTGTCCTGTTCATCCTCTTGAACGAAGTTTTCGCCAGTGACACAGATATCATTTATTTACACATTATAGTCATATGTAGTCACTTCATAGTTAGAGTATTTGTGTATGTGAGCTGTGTTGTTCTTTATGTGCTTATGAATGCTAATCGCCGCTTCATCCTTTTTTTTTTTTTTTTTGGTGTTCATTGTGATCGATTATGTAAAGCTTACAAAAACTATTTGTTCTTTCTTACCCCTTTTCTTCTCTTCCCTATAATTTCCGACCCTTTTAAAAACTTTCACAGGCGTTCACTGAGCAGCTTTCAGAAGAATATAATAAGTGATAAAACAACTTATTCTTGGTCATAAAAAAAGTAAAGAACCCTTCCCCTAAAGGCGTATAGGGCACATGGGGCTAGACCTATATTCTTAGTCATAGTCGAGGTTTTAACTTTACCGCAGTCGGGTTTCCCCTTACTTGTTCCGTCCCTGTGCCAGTACAAATCAAATGAAATCTCCCTCACTGTCCTATTTGAAAAACTGGTCAACCGTAAGTTAGTCCCGGTACACTCCAGGAATATACACACGCAGTAAATGTCTAAGGTAGTCACTAGATGTGTCACAGTCAACAGTCGCGATCACAAATGTAGTTTGTCGTTGATGGAAATAGTCGTTCACTCTTAATTTGGAAGTGCACACGCAAACTTATTACATAAGGTATCGCGCCACCCCTCACGTAAACTGGATACCGGTAATATTTAAATATCACGACTCAGACGGCAGAAATGAAAACACAGTGACGTTGGTAGTCATCTCTATCCACAACCTTTTGTCTAGTGGACTTTAAGTCCTTTCTGGCACAGACCACTTTCTATACAATGATGTCAGATGTGCAGCAACTTTCCTCTAGCACATAAATATAACATAAATATGAAGATGTGTTTAGTCCGTCACACAACATAAATCGCTAAACTTTGGTGTGCCTGACTCACCCTTTGTGTGCAGCACATAAATGTGTGTACATAGATAAACACGGTACTGTAGCCTGTTGTCTGCTAACTTGAAAATGGAAAACAGTTGTATATAAAGCGTATTAGCTCACGTGTTTTCAACAGATAATCTACAACATTAATCGAAGGTCTCTTTGCTAACTTTGTCTGTCTGTATGTTCTCTCTCTCTCTCTCTCTCTCTCTCTCTCTCTCTCTCTCTCTCCCTCTTTCTCTCTCTCTCTCACACACACGCACGCACGCACACACACACACTCACACACACACACACACACACTGATCACCCATTGAAATGCTAACGCACCGCTTGTGTTTACACTTTTTTCTTCGTTGGCGCCAAAAGCTAAAAGTCGGGAATGTAAATGTCGGTCAAACGTCCCGCTTTCGCTCGCTTGCAGGCGTGTATTACAGGATGTAGAGAGAAAGAAGCAATTTCCGTTTTGGCGCTAAAGTAAATTTTTAAAACTCTGAAAACTTTTAGCCAAATCTAATTAGTTTGGCTTGCTATATTTATGTGCGAGCCAATTCGGCCACATCGGTCTATCAGTGGATGAAGGCGCCGGGCAAATCTGTCGTGTACACAACTTGTCGCCCCCCGTCTTGCTGCCTCAGCTGTCTTTTTTTCTAGAGAAAATGAGAGTGACAAAAATGTGATTAAAATCGATCTGGAGAGGAATTCTTTTTCTCTTCCTACTCCTCCCTCTGCTCCTTCTTCTTCACCGGCTGTAAAGTCCGGAGTAAAGTTGTGGGTGATCGTCCACCTGCCGACTTGAACCTTGTTCCAGAACCTCTGAGTACTGCATGCACCACCCTTTCACAGATCTGGCCTATGTGTATGTATGCAGACTGTTGGTTCCTTGCCTCGGTCTCAGCCAGATGTACTCTGATTTCGAGTTGACTCTTAGGACATACATGTTGATAAGACAGTGGGTCTGTTCTTGTTTTCCCCACAATGGACACCGGAACCCACACGGGGACTGTGCCGTTTTGAGGCAATTGATTTCTTATAATGAGAAAACAATATATTACACATTATATTGACAGGCACTCAATCCTGTAGTGTACGATTTGTGCTTTTGTTGCCTAAGTTCACAACCGGACAGTATTGTTTTGGAAATATTATTTATTTTGGTTATGTTTTGAAATCCTCTAGTACAAGTTTCTCTGTTTTTATCCGTGTGGTTTTCCTAATATTGTCTCACATACTTTCTTTACCCCGCGTCATCATACTTTTCGTTCAGTTTTATATATTTTCTTGATCTGATTCTATGTGTTGAGTGATCTAGATTTTAGGATTCTCGTAACTGTTAAACTTTCGGCTGTCTTCCAACACTTAACCCGCTTCGAATATCTTGTGTTTATCGTGAAGAAATTTTTCCGAAGACAAGAACAAAAAATCGAGAAACAAAAATGGCAACTACAGACATGAAGGTAAAAAGAAACCATGTACACAGACATCGTGTGCCTATAGATTCCCCGCCTTTTCGTTTGCTGGTCTGTGTGTATGTCTGTCTGTCTGTGAGCCGCTGAGGACATAAAAAAGAATGGAACCATCTCAGGTCAGTTGGCGTCACACATGATGGGCGCTATTTTGTGGGATATGCGGATGTTTGTTGTTGTAAGGGCTGTTAGGGAGACGCTGTTGTATGGCGCCAACCACACGAACCACAGAATTGTCCACACAAACTCCAGATTTGTCCACATGAACCGCAGAATTGTCCAACCGGGTGCCCCAGGACAGGTTGTGATCCTTCAAGTGATTGAATATAAACCCCCCCCCCCCCCCTTTTTCCCCCAATCGCTGAGCAGTTCACTATAAACCCAAGCTTGAATACAGAAGACAGTCAGTATATACAACTAAGAATTCTGAATTTTATTGTCAACTCTGCATTTAATCTGGGAGTTTTTTTTTTGGGGGGGGGGGGGGGGGGGTCTGCATCGAAAAGAACCTTCCTGTAGCTGGTCAGTCTCTTTCTCTCTCTCTCTCTCTCTCTCTCTCTCTCTCTCTCTCTCTGACTCTTTCTTTCTCTGTGTGTGTTCTGTATGAAAGTTTGGTGTAACCCCCATTATTTACCTGTGAGTATTTCATGTCACATGACACTATTTCAGGCCCTGATATTCCAGAATGGCAACCTGCAGTCCGGCCCCCTGGAAGCGCTGATACAGCACCTTGTCCCCACATCTGTCTACTGCCCTGATGTAAGTACAGTTATTCCTCTCGTTTCCTTCCAGTCCCCACTACTGCCCTGATGTAAGTACAGTTATTCCTTTCGTTTCCTTCCAGACGCCACTACTGTTCCAATGTAAGTAGTCTTTGTCCACCCCCCCCCCCTCCCCTGATCGACTCTACCACTGCTGCCTTAATGACAGTTTTTTTCTCTCTCTCTATCTTTCCTCTACTCGCCCTGCCTGTAATGAAAGTTTTCTTCTCCCTCTCCCCTGATCGATCTCTGACATTTCCCACTGCTGCCTTAACATATCATTCCTCCATGTCACTATCATTGACTGGTCAACATATCTCACTTCTCATTGACTGGTCAACATATCTCACTATCATTGACTGGTCCACATATCTCACTTCTCATTGACAGGTCAACATATCTCACTTATCATTGACTGGTCCACATATCTCACTTCTCATTGACTGGTCAACATATCTCACTTCTCATTGACTGGTCAAAATGTCTCACTTCTCATTGACTGGTCCACATATCTCACTTCTGATTGACTGGTTAACATATCTCACTTCTCATTGACTGGTCAGCATCATTAACATAAACTTTAAACCTCATATGAATGTCAGTCTTCACCCAATTTGTATTTACTTTTTTGGTTTTTAGTTTAATTATGTAATGAGACAGACACACACACACATACATGCATGCACACACACACACACACACACACACACATATATATATATATATATATATATATATATATATATATATATATATATATATATATATATATATATATAGAGAGAGAGAGAGAGAGAGAGAGAGAGAGAGAGAGGGAGAGATTCTAATATACACAAAAATTGTTCAAAAGGGAATTCTGAATTATACAGAGCAATATCTGGATGCAATTCTAGTTCTGTAGGGGAAACAAAAGAAGATTTTAAATAAAGCTCAGAAATGTAACAGAAAGACCAGCTTCATTTTATATGGATGGCACAGACAAGAAGCTAGAAATGTGTTCAAACAGTTCAAGATCAAAAAACATCTGTTGTGAATTTTTTTTTCTCTCTTTCTTCTCTGGGAATCTCTTCTACTTTGTCTTTATCCGTTGCTGTTTGTTGTATGGTTGCTGGGTCCAATCCGTGATACAGTTGCTGTGTGAAAGATCAGTATTTGGAAGTGTCATATGTAAGGCAGCCCGCATGCCCAGTTTTGGACCCTTTGAAAATAAAGTTTGTTAATTTGTTCCATTCTTCATGTGCATTTGGTATGTAAAATTGATTGCCTCTTGAGGACTTAAGAAATCATAGTTTTACTGATGAAACATGAAAAAAAAAGGGGTGGGTTATTTTTTCACATTAAGCATTTGTGTTTGGTTTGTGAGTATTGGAAAACCTAACTGATCACAGAAGCAGATTTATAACCCTAGAAAGATAGTAGCACCCAGACATATCTGTAGTCTGTCTGCCAGACAACAGCAGACATCCATTCCCCAGTGATAAAGACACTGACCTAGTTACAGAAAAGGAAACATTTGTCTTGCAGCTGTGCATTCTGCAGCAGAACCTATCCAGGGACAAAACCAACAACCAGGACATGTCAAGGTCGGGCAGGTTTGGGCCTCACATTGTCAACCTGCTGAGGTATGTGCATTATTATCTCACTTGTGATCTTACCTGTCAGGTGACTGGGCTGACCCTGTGGGTTCTTGGGCTGGGGGTTGTGGGGTTAGGGGTTCTGGGGCTTTGGGTTCTGGGACTGGGAGTTGTGGGAGAAGAGAGAGAATGCATTCCCTGTTCCTAAATGAGCATGTTGTAAAAGGTGGTTAATTAAGGATTGGTGAAAGTTGTTGGGCAGAAAAGTGCAGATATCACGACCTAGCTGTATATCACAACACAACATGCCAACCGCAGTTTTGAAGGCAGAAAATAAAAAAGAAGAAGAACTGTCTTGAGTGCCTGCCTGAATTGCCTTTGTGTTGTAGAACTGTGGGGTCGTGAACCTGAGTGTTGCAGCTCATGGCTTATGCAGTTGCCACGAACTGTGCAGGCTAGAATTTGTATTTTGCCGCCGAGAGAAAAATTCCAGTCCAATAACGAGGATCAAACCCTGGTCTTCCGCTTCAGACCCTAGCATTCTAACCATTAGGCCAGTCTATCGTGGAAGACGAAACAACTGAGTATAGAAGTGCACTACAGTAAACGTCTAACATACAGACAAATGTAATATTGATGGAAAGGTTAAACAGTCATGAGCATCACATGATGATTTCTTGGGTGATGCTAGTACTAGAGCTCCCAGTGTGTTGACCCATTTATAGAAACCTCAGTGGGTGGCCGGCAGTGCTCATGTTCTGTCCCTGCCTTCCCTTGAGAACTAACCAGCATTAGCTGGCTTCTTTGGCCAGGCACTGCCCGTGGACACACACACACACACTCACACACACATACGCACATACACACATACACACACACACACACACACAGAAAGCAAACCACTAATATATCTGTATATACTAACTTGTGCTACAGTAACTCCTGAAAGATAAGTTGTTTGCCTATTTTGGTAAAAATCTTCATGTGAGTGTTGAAAATAGCTTGATAACTTGACCAACAGCTTTATTTGCACTGAGAAGAAAGAAAAATCTGCATAATACTACAAGGTACACATAAGAGAACATGAAAACATACTGAATGTTTCTATTGCACTTCACAGTTGAAGAGGAAAGACCATATATAATCACATTCATGATCATACTGCAGAGTGGAAGAGGAAGGCCTGAATAAAATTATAATGTATATTGGAGAGTAGAAAAGAAGAGACAGAATAAGATCATATGGAAAGTTGAAGAGAAAAGATTTAGTTATATGCATATACATATACCTTCCATAATGAAAAAGAAATTAAGTAAATGAAATGTTCAGCTGAGGATGTTTCATTAGTTGTCTTTTATTGCCAGTGAGTGGACCGAGATGTTTGCATATGATTTCCGAGATGACCGGATGATGAAGCAACTCCGAGACATCACTCAGAGGATACTGGTCAGCTTTCCTGAGTTGAGGAAGGACATCAACAACCTCAGCTACAATCTAGTGACCAAGGTGAGACTTTGTGGGTTTGGTAAACACTTGGTTGTGAAGTAAGGATGCATGAGTAAATAGATGCAAGGACACAGGAATGATGTGTGGGTGAAGGATGCATGAATGTTGGCCTAATACATGTAGTGATTTATTAGTGCAGGAATGCATGGTAGATGAATGACCTTAATTAATGAATGGGTTTGTGGATAGGTAAATGGATGGATGGATTTATGAGTGGATGGCTGCAGAGGCAGACAGATGAGCTAAATTGTAATCTCATTAAGAGCTCACCTCAGTGTGAACCATTTTAGCTGCTAGAAAAAAGTTCAGCAGCAGAAAACATGCTCTTTCCTAACGCGCTCACTACCAGCCCCTCTACACATGCTCTTTCCTAACGCGCTCACTACCAGCCCCTCTACACATGCTCTTTCCTAACGCATTCACTACCAGCCCCTCTACACATGCTCTTTCCTAACGCGCTCACTACCAGCCCCTCTACACATGCTCTTTCCTAACACGCTCACTACCAGCCCCTCTACACATGCTCTTTCCTAACGCACTCACTACCAGCCCCTCTACATACTTTTTTGTTAGAGTTCCATTGTTTTAAAATCATTCAAAGATCTACTTATTAGAATAGTTCTGTACCAGAAACTCCATTGAGTGTCAGACCCAGTTTGTCTTCTGGAGCTGAGTTTGATTTTTTTTTAAAAACAAAATAACAAAAATGATGATAGACATCTCCTGGTACTGGGGTAGTGGATCATGTCTGTTCTTCTCTAAGAAGGGCAGAAATCTCGTAAGGCACATCTGTTTGGTAGAAATCTTTCCGCTGTCAGAAAAAATCAAAAAGTTAAATTCAAGATGATTGACTTCATTGTCCTGGGTTATCGCATATGGTGAGGTAACTCTCTCTCCCAAACAGCTAGCCACCTGCTGAGAGAATTGCATGAAGCACAAACTCCATAGCTCCAGCAATAATTTTCAGGGATCTATGTAAAGATTACACCCAATAACAACCGCACATCTGTAAATTGAACCCATGAACTTCAGATGATGAGTCAACCAGCTAGACCACTTGACCATGGAGAGATTCCCTAGAAAATAATCAGGCCAGATAAATGACTGACCAGGCTAAAGGTCAGATAAATGACTGACCAGGCTAAAGGTCAGATAAATGACTTACCAGGCTAAAGGTCGGATACATGACAGACCAGGCTAAAGGTCAGATAAATGACTGACCAGGCTAAAGGTCAGATAAATGACTGACCAGGCTAAAGATCAGATTAATAACTGACCAGGCTAAAGGTGAGAATGAGATCAGCTACCTGGAAAGGCAAGTGAGTCTACTGTGGTAGATTCTGGGATACATCAGGCTGTGTTATTTCTCACCGCTTGTGTGGAGTTCAGATGCTGTACTCAGATTCTGGTATTCATCGGTGATGTTGTTTCTAACCCGTTTTACAGAGTTGGCCAGCGGAATTGAACCTTGTCTATATTTACCCTTAAAATAGTGGTTGGCATGCTGTGTTGTGCTATACAAGGCAATAGATGCATTAAAGGGGCCAACACATCTGAAGACAGCAAAACCAGAAACTGTCACCTTTTACGACATGTTTGTCAGAGATTCAGGACAATTACCACCCGTGTGATGGTGAAAGGTTCAGCTGATTAAGGACGATTACCAGGTGTGATGGTGAGAGGTTCAGCTGATTCAGGACAATAACCACCTGTGTGATGGTGAGAGGTTCAGCTGATTCAGGACAATTACCACCCGTGTGATGTGGAGCTTTTGAGGAGGAGATTGGAGCACCTATGGATCTGTCCGGAGTGCTGTGATGATTATCCTTACTAATCACCCATGTGATGCGAGTCATTGTACAGATAGTTCTGTGTTGAAAGGCATAAGAAGTGCATGGGGGTTCATAGCAAAAGGGAATGGACATCTCTTAATGCAACAAAACCTGGCATATGCTACCATAACATCTGACTTGAGAATGGAGATAGAGGCAATCGCTGCAGCTTTCTGCTGGCTTTAGAACCAGCTTCACATACATGTCATACTTATAATGACTCACAGAGCCTTTTGAGAACCAGCTTCACACACATGTCATACTTATAATGACTCACAGAGCATTTTGAGAACCAGCTTCACATACATGTCATACTTATAATGACTCACAGAGCCTTCTGAGAACCAGCTTCACATACATGTCATACTTATAATGATTCACAGAGCCTTCTGAGAACCAGCTTCACATACATGTCATACTTATAATGACTCACAGAGCCTTCTGAGAACCAGCTTCACATACATGTCATACTTATAATGACTCACAGAGCCTTCTGAGAACAGTCAAGGCACGTATGCTTCATGCAGAGTGGCAAGCATTGATTCAGAGATTCTAGGTAGTTAGCATCTTTTGGATATTTTCTTCAGGCTGTGCAGATGTATTGGAAAACATCCAGAAAGACTGGCTGCTTCTATACTACTGGGATATTGTTGTATGTTGTTATATTGACTTGTGCCCAGTTAAACTTTTCAGGCATATACTAAAATTGCTACAAAGTCAGTAAACCTAGATTTATTGATTATATTTGTGGCACTGTTTGTTTTTCTCCCTAAACTATTATTTGCTAAACAGTTTCCTGAAGGAAAAAAAATGCATGGAGTGGGAACTTAAGTGGCATACACTTGAGTGGTTGGGGGACACCCATCAGAACATTAGTGCAGCTGATGAGTGTAGTAGAAAGTACAAGTACATTCTTCAAAAGGAATGCCAGTGCACACATGTCTGCCAGTGCACACGTCTCCCAGTGCACACATGTCTCCCAGTGCAAACATGTCTCCCAGCTGGTTGTTGAAGCTCTCGGATAGCTGACCTTTCAGGAACTAATCAGGAATACCAGCTCTGATCTGTTGAGTGTCTGGCACCTGTGATTTCCTGCATGTGTTTCCAGGCTTTAGATCTTTACCTGGACAGATGCGCTCAGTTAATTAACGGTTTCAGTTCCAGAACAGATTATCTCAGAGAATATTGCTACAACAGAAAGCAAAGCCATACAGTATCTACTGTATGGCAACTTGAAATATTAACGCGAAAACCAACATGATGTACACAAATATTAGTTACGTGCAAACAAGTGGTTAGAATAAGACGAAACTTGGAGATATTGTAGAAAATAGGTTAAAAGACAAAAAGTAAATCTAAACATACGTGGGCAGCCATTCACAATGACTAACCATGAGGTTTGATCATGATTGATTGGTTATTTTTAGTTTGATGCGTTTAATCACGTAGTACACAAATAACTGAAAAATTGGGACAGCGGTATAGTGGTAGGTTTGAAAGTTCAGGACAGTGGTGTGGTAGCGTTAATATATTATCGCAATATTTTGAACAGCTCTGGTGTTTTCGTCTACAGTTTAATGTTAAATATTTTCCGGCCATGCTATGTCATTTCCCCTCACCGCCCAAACTGGCAACTCATAGCAGATATTGGTGCAGAATATGATTTCTTGTGTTCCAGAATGTTACCCCTTTTAAAAACTATTTTCCCAAAGACCTTGGAACTACCTCTGGCAGAAAACCAAGAATTTATGTCTTCAGACTTCAGATGGAGATCTTTCACTGCACAACAGTTTCAACCAATTATGTGCACAAACGAACTTTTAATTTGTGAATTATGTCCAAAAGCTAATGGTTTTCAAGTGTGTCATTTGAGCATTTTTCTGTTTTCCAGCTAACAAATTTGAAGAGTTACGAGGAAAACCTGAACAAAATTGAAACGGAAGAGCAGCAGAAAGCACACACACAGGTTGTTGCTACTGTAAGTTTTCTTGTTTGATTGTATCTTGTACACCATCTTGGTTTTGTCCAGTCACTAGCCAGATTTATGTTCTTTGGCTCATGCTGGGCAGATTTATGGACAAGATGACTAACGGTTTAACCTACTTCAACCTAAAGTGGGTACCCGGGATGAACTATATCACAAATTGGGCGCTGATTGGCCTTTCAACATACGACTCTAGCATCATATATTTGATCCGCAAATGGCATTAAAAAGAGTCCTGAAGTAGAAAGAGAGAGACAGAATAAGGGGTTACTGACCAAGAGGACATCATTGATTGGGTTTAGTTAAATTATTAAAGCAGTGTGTGTGTGTGTGTGTGCATGCATGCGTGTGTGCGTGCCTGCGTGTGGACCCCGTCTATCCATGATTTGAACTCCTGCTGTTATCTTTCTCAAACAAAATGGTTACATTAACCCAAAGTTAACGCTTATATGTTCACAAATACTTTATCCTGTTATGTCTACATATTTGACCCCCATAGTTACACATTGTTTACATGAAAATTTACCACTTATAACTTCCTCTTTCAGACGGATCTTCTGGAGGTATGTCCTAGTCCTCTTGTCCTGGCTCAACAACTGACACATATTGAACTGGTAAGTCACAGATCTGACCATGTCCTGATTCCAGTTAACATTCCTAATTGTTCCTGTCTTAAAACCTGTCACAATCATGGACATGTTGTCACATCTGTTACATTCATGGACATGTTGTCACACCTGTTACAATCATAGACATGTTGTCACTTCTGTTACAATCATGGACATGTTGTCAAATTTGTTACAATCATGGACATGTTATCACATCTGTTACATTCATGGACATGTTGTCACATCTGTTACAATCATGGACATGTTGTCACGTCTGTTACATTAATGGACATGTTGTCACATCTGTTACAATCATGGACATGTTGTCACATCTGTTACATTCATGGACATGTTGTCACATCTGTTACATTCATGGACATGTTGTCACACCTGTTACATTCATGGACATGTTGTCACACCTGTTACATTCATGGACATGTTGTCACATCTGTTACATTCATGGACATGTTGTCACATCTGTTACATTCATGGGCATGTTGTTACATCTGTTACATTCATGGACATGTTGTCACATCTGTTACAATCATGGACATGTTGTCACATCTGTTAGTTACATTCATAGACATGTTGTCACATCTGTTACATTCATGGACATGTTGTCACATCTGTTACCATCCTGGACCCGTCGTCACATCTGTAACATTCATCTGTTACATTCATCTGTTCATTCCTTGTATTCATTTTAGTCTGGTTAAACAAAAGGAGGGGGGGGGGGAAGACTTGAGGGGTTGGCAGATGACCACCAGGCTGGTATATAAGTGATAAGCTTCCGGTACGGCGGAACTAGCAGCTATGATTATTTGAAGGCACTTAATAGGTCCTGGGTAGTTAGCATCCTTTGGATATTTTCTCCAGGTCATGCCGGTGTGTTGGGAAATGAGCAGGTGGATCAACTGGCTGGCTCTGCACCACTTGGTGGTAAATTGGTGTATGACAAGCTAGATATTGTGAGGGCTTTTTGGGAATGAGTGAGCAGTGCGGAGGCACAGATAGATAATTATGGTCTGAGGAGAATGGTCAGGGGATCTTGCCGATGCTCAACACTCAGGGGAAGGTTGAGACGGATATACAGTCAAATGGTTACTGGTGCCATCGGAATTGGAACTCTTTGCTTGCTGCTGAAGATAGGGATGAAGCAGTTATGGGAGTGTCCAGAGTGCTGTGATGTCGATTCTTAATTCACATTCAACATTGACCTGTGGTCTGCAACCTTAGGAAATACTTCGGCCGAAATTACTGTCATCATTTCATGCACAGCAACATGATGGGCAGTCTGAGAGTTTCACGTGATTGCCTGCCATCTTGAGTGTTTGTTTCTTCTTCATGTATTTGATTTCTTCCAGGAGCGGTTGAGTATGATTGGCTCTGAAGAATTTGTTCAAGCATTCTCAAAAGAACGAGTGTCATCAGATGTGAGTAGCTTTAGTGCCTCCTCTGTGTTGTTCAGATAACATGATTTCTCCTTTAAACATTTTCTTGTCCTGACCTCCTGCTGCTGCTGTTGCCTTCTTCTTCTTCTCCTTCTTCTTCTCCTTCTTCTTCTCTTCCTCCTCTTTCTCTCCTTCTCCTCCATTTTTCTCTTCTTCCCCTTTCTCCTTCTTCTTCTCTCCTTTTCTTCCTTGTCCTCGTCCTGCGTTCACTCTTTCAGTCCAGCACATCTTATTTCAGCACACCATTATTAGTTTCCTTGTATGCTATGCTTAATAGGTATATTCTTGTTGCCTCCAAACAAGGTCATGGAAACCATAATGGAATTTGCTACTTTAATTTCACACACTATGACTGACTCCCACAGTTATAGCATCTTGAAATTCTCTCATGTACCAGTAATCTTTCTGTCCATTCACTCTTATGTAATGAAACCTTGTTTGCAAACTTCAGTGTCTGGTTCATGTACATCTAGGGCTACACTCTCTGTCTGTTATTTTCATCATCATCATCACCAGTCGTGTGTGGGAGGATGAGAGATTGTGCTGTTGGGCAATGAAATGTTATAGGTCACTAACAACTATGCCACAATAGTTCTTTGACAACAGACAATGTTATTGCTTTTTTATCTCTTAGTCAAAGATTATTCAGTCAGCATTTCTTGAACTTGCTTGTATCAAAACTAACTGCTAAACAATCTCTGCATATGTGTGTCCAGCAGGTACACATTGAACTAAACAACTTAGTCTTGTTCAGTTCTCACATAACCTTATCATAGGCTTGTTTACAGTTGAGATCCTGTCTCACATAACCTTATCACAGGCTTGTTTACAGTTGAGATCCTGTCTCACATAACCTTATCACAGGCTTGTTTACAGTTGAGATCCTGTCTCACATAACCTTATCACAGGCTTGTTTACAGTTGAGATCCTGTCTCACATAACCTTATCACAGGCTTGTTTACAGTTGAGATCCTGTCTCACATAACCTTATCACAGGCTTGTTTACAGTTGAGATCCTGTCACACATAACCTTATCACAGGCTTGTTTACAGTTGAGATCCTGTCTCACATAACCTTATCACAGGCTTGTTTACAGTTGAGATCCTGTCTCACATAACCTTATCACAGGCTTGTTTACAGTTGAGATCCTGTCTCACATAACCTTATCACAGGCTTGTTTACAGTTGAGATCCTGTCTCAGCTAACCTTATCACAGGCTTGTTTACAGTTGAGATCCTGTCTCACATAACCTTATTACAGGCTTGTTTACAGTTGAGATCCTGTCTCAGCTAACCTTATCACAGGCTTGTTTACAGTTGAGAGCCTGTCTCACATAACCTTATCACAGGCTTGTTTACAGTTGAGATCCTGTCTCACCTAACCTTATCACAGGCTTGTTTACAGTTGAGATCCTGTCTCACATAACCTTATCACAGGCTTGTTTACAGTTGAGATCCTGTCTCACATAACCTTATCACAGGCTTGTTTACAGTTGAGATCCTGTCTCACCTAACCTTATCACAGGCTTGTTTACAGTTGAGATCCTGTCTCACATAACCTTATCACAGGCTTGTTTACAGTTGAGATCCTGTCTCACCTAACCTTATCACAGGCTTGTTTACAGTTGAGATCTTGTCTCACATAACCTTATCACAGGCTTGTTTACAGTTGAGATCCTGTCTCACATAACCTTATCACAGGCTTGTTTACAGTTGAGATCCTGTCTCACATAACCTTATCACAGGCTTGTTTACAGTTGAGATCCTGTCTCACATAGCCTTATCACAGGCTTGTTTACAGTTGAGATCCTGTCTCACATAACCTTATCACAGGCTTGTTTACAGTTGAGATCCTGTCTCACATAACCTTATCACAGGCTTGTTTACAGTTGAGATCCTGTCTCACATAGCCTTATCACAGGCTTGTTTACAGTTGAGATCCTGTCTCACATAACCTTATCACAGGCTTGTTTACAGTTGAGATCCTGTCTCAGGTATTTCAGTACCATGCACCTGTGCTGTCAGTATGGGGAAGCTCTGTAATCATACCTTTCCCAGCATGGAGTGGACAGCCTTAGAGGACATGCTTCAGTTTGTCTTCTTCTGTTTATACAATGCTGTACTGTCTTAATGAGCATATACCTCTGTCACACTGTCCTGCCTACATGAGCATATACCTCTGTCACACTGTCCTGCCTACATGAGCATTTGCCTCTGTCACACTGTCCTGCCTACATGAGCATATGCCTCTGTCACACTGTCCTGCCTACATGAGCATATGTCTCTGTCACACTGTCCTGCCTACATGAGCATATGCCTCTGTCACACTGTCCTGCCTACATGAGCATATGTCTCTGTCACACTGTCCTGTCTACATAAGCATATGCCTCTGTCACACTGTCCATGTCTGTGTTGCATCATCCACCTGACTAGAAGACTGAAGAATGCACCCCTAAACTGTGCTAGATCAACATGTTGGTTGTAAATGTGGTCTTTCTCTGATGTAGGTCATCAACTGCCAGGACTTGAAAACCACACACAACCTAGAGTCTTACGTCCAGTGGTTCAACCGGCTCAGTTACCTGGTGGCTACAGAGATCACCTCGGTGAGTGTCCCCCTGTGTGTGGTGAGTGTCCCCTTGTTTTTGGTGAGTGTCCCCTTGTTTTTGGTGAGTGTCCCCTTGTTTTTGGTGAGTGTCTCCCTGTTTTTGGTGAGTGTCCCCCTGTGTGTGGTGAGTGTCCCCCTGTGTGTGGTGAGTGTCCCCCTGTGTGTGGTGAGTGTCCCCCTGTGTGTGGTGAGTGTCCCCCTGTGTGTGGTGAGTGTCCCCCTGTGTGTGGGTTATCGTATAATGTCATTCTTTGCATTCTTGAAGTGTTTTTGTGTATGTTCATACAAACATTTACATGCACACATACATAAATACAAGTATGAGAGATAACAGTTGACTAAATACAAACATATAAATAAGGGATAAATATGAAACAGAAAGTGACTTAATATAAAATATCAAATTGACTGTGTATGATAGAAAGAGTAACTAAATCAAAATAAATGTAGTGAGTAAACGTAGCAGAGCCAAAATTGGATAAACTATTTAAAAAAAAAAAATCATATGGCTAAACATAAAACATTATTGTACAAATAAAAGAATGAAAGTGATTGGACAGAAGGAATACAAAGGTTAAGGACTCATTGTCACACCTTGAAGCATCTTGGGGAGGGGGAGGGGAGGGGGGATATATCTGGATCTGTAGGGACCAGATGGTACTCGCTGTTTTTATAACAAGGCAAAATGTGTAGTATCTGCTTTCAAAGAGTTTGTAAAGTTTGTGATTCTGTTTTGTTTGCAGCACATAAAAAAGAAGAGTCGAGTCAGGGTGGTGGAATATTTCATTGATGTTGCTAAGGAGTGCATCAACATTGGCAACTTTAACTCGCTGATGGCCATCATTGCAGGCATGAATCTCAGTGCCGTCACTCGTTTGAAGAAAATGGTAAGTGGGATTGGTTGTTGGTGTGGGTGTGAAAGGGTCATGAATCTCAGTGCCGTCACTCATTTGAAGAAAATGGTAAGTGGGACTGGTTGTTTGTGCAGGTGTAAAATGGTTGAGGGGTTTTGTGCAAGACTCAACTAAATGAAAAGTCATATGAATGAGCTGTAAGGAATGAAGGTTAGCATTCTCTCCTTGTAGTTTTACTTTTGTTGTAATTTTATTGTCTTCCTAGTTTTAATCTGATCATTTTTGCTGCCTTCCCGAAAAGTTCTAGTGTTCTCCCAGTAGGGTTATTGCTTTCCCCTTGTAGTTCTATCCTCAGCTTACAATTATCTTGTCTTTCTCTTTTAGTTCTGTTGTTTTCCTCATGTAGTTCTTTTGTCTTCACCCTTGTAGTTTTTTTGCCATACCCATCGTTGTTTTTAAAAAAAAAAAATTTTTATTATGTTCTTTTCGGGTTCTGTTGCCTTTCTCTTGTGATTCTTATCTTTTCCCCAAATATTTTATTTACAGTTTTGCCTTTTTAGTTTATTGTCTTTTCCTAATCATATTGCCTGTCGCTTGCAGTTCTGTCATCTCCTTGTAATCATATTGCCTGTCCCTTGCATTTGTGTTATTTTCCCTTATTGTTTTGTTATCATCTATTTGTGGCTGTAGTGCTTCACACTTATAGTGTGTTTTAAATAAACTTCTGGTTTTACTGATGGAGTTTTACAGATAGTTCATTTAATATCTGTTTCTTTATTTTGTTTCAATTTTATCATTATATGTAAAATATTCTTTACACAACTTAAAAAAAAAAAATGAGTTTAGTCAGTGATGACTTTGTTAAATTCTTTTATTTATTATCAGCCTTTTTGGTTTCTTTTTGTAACTGTATTCAGGCTGATGTAAGATAGAGAGAAACACACACATATGTGCATGCATGCAGTAGGTATGCACTCATGCATGTGTGCACACACACCCACACAGGAAGAGAGAGAGAGAGAAAGAGAGTGAGAGACTTGTCATTTCATTAATGTTTGGCTAACATATTTGTCACATTTCTCATTTTCAGTGGACAAAAGTCAACAGAGACAAGCTGAAGATACTCGAGGTATGCATAGAAAGCTGCACATTAATTACATAATTTATGGACAGATCTCTAAACACTTTGACCTGCGGAACACCTATAATAAATATATTACTAGTATTTGTACTGATAATAGTTTCTGAAGTGACTTTGAACCCTTGTTGTAGATAAGACCTGTCATTGCTTTAAGATGTGCTTTTGGCAAATTAATCTAAGATATGATTCTAAAGAATTTAGCTTTAAAGAATTGCTGTAAGATATTTTCCTCTATTTCTTCATTGTTCTTCTCAGTGGCTTAACTGTGTTGTGCCTGTTTGAGGCAAAGTGCAATATTTGTGCCCTTCAGTCAACACAAACGAGGAAATCAGGCAATTGTTAATGGCTTAGTCTTCCCATTGACCTTTCATGGGACATTGTTGGATACTTCCAAGCTTCGTTTGTGTCGTGCATTGTTGGATACTTCCAAGCCTTGTTTGTTTCCTGCATTGTTGGATACTTCCAAGCCTTGTTTGTGTCCTGCATTGTTGGATACTTCCAAGCTTCGTTTGTGTCGTGCATTGTTGGATACTTCCAAGCTTCGTTTGTGTCGTGCATTGTTGGATACTTCCAAGCTTTGTTTGTGTTGTGCATTGTTGGATACTTCCAAGCTTCATTTGTGTCATGCATTGTTGGATACTTCCAAGCTTTGTTTGTGTCATGCATTGTTGGATACTTCCAAGCTTTGTTTGTGTCATGCATTGTTGGATACTTCCAAGCTTCATTTGTGTCATGCATTGTTGGATACTTCCAAGCTTCGTTTGTGTCGTGCATTGTTGGATACTTCCAAGCTTCATTTGTGTCGTGCATTGTTGGATACTTCCAAGCTTTGTTTGTGTCATGCATTGTTGGATACTTCCAAGCTTTGTTTGTGTTGTGCATTGTTGGATACTTCCAAACTTTGTTTGTGTCGTGCATTGTTGGATACTTCCAAGCTTTGTTTGTGTCATGCATTGTTGGATACTTCCAAGCTTCATTTGTGTCATGCATTGTTGGATACATCCAAGCTTCGTTTGTGTCGTGCATTGTTGGATACTTCCAAACTTTGTTTGTGTCGTGCATTGTTGGATACTTCCAAGCTTTGTTTGTGTCGTGCATTGTTGGATACTTCCAAGCTTTGTTTGTGTCGTAAATTGTTGGATACTTCCAAGCTTTGTTTGTGTCGTGAATTGTTGGATACTTCCAAGCTTTGTTTGTGTCCTGCATTGTTGGATACTTCCAAGCTTTGTTTGTATCCTGCATTGTTGGATACTTCCAAGCTTCGTTTGTGTCGTGCATTGTTGGATACTTCCAAGTCTTGTTTGTGTCATAAATTGTTGGTTACTTCCAAGCTTTGTTTGTGTCGTGCATTGTTGGATACTTCCAAGCTTTGTTTGTGTCGTGCATTGTTGGATACTTCCAAGCTTCGTTTGTGTTGTGAATTGTTGGATACTTCCAAGTCTTGTTTGTGTCGTGAATTGTTGGTTACTTCCAAGCTTTGTTTGTGTCGAGCATTGTTGGATACTTCCAAGCTTTGTTTGTGTCGTGCATTGTTGGATACTTCCAAGCTTCGTTTGTGTCGTGAATTGTTGGATACTTCCAAGTCTTGTTTGTGTCGTGAATTGTTGGTTACTTCCAAGCTTTGTTTGTGTCGTGCATTGTTGGATACTTCCAAGCTTCAGTTGTGTCGTGCATTGTTGGATACTTCCAAGCTTCATTTGTGTCGTGAATTGTTAGATACTTCCAAGTCTTGTTTGTTCGTGAATTGTTGGTTACTTCCAAGCTTTGTTTGTGTCATGCATTGTTGGATACTTCCAAGCTTTGTTTGTGTCGTGCATTGTTGGATACTTCCAAGCTTTGTTTGTGTCGGGCATTGTTGGATACTTCCAAGCCTTGTTTGTGTCGTGCATTGTTGGATACTTCCAAGCTTCGTTTGTGTCGTGAATTGTTGGATACTTCCAAGCTTTGTTTGTATCCTGCATTGTTGGATACTTCCAAGCTTTGTTTGTGTCGTGCATTGTTGGATACTTCCAAACTTCGTTTGTGTCATGCATTGTTGGATACTTCCAAGCTTTGTTTGTGTCGTGCATTTTTGGATACTTCCAAGCTTTGTTTGTGTCGTGCATTGTTGGATACTTCCAAGCTTTGTTTGTGTCATGTATTGTTGGATACTTCCAAACTTCATTTGTGTCATGCATTGTTGGATACTTCCAAGCTTTGTTTGTGTCGTGCATTGTTGGATACTTCAAAGCTTCGTTTGTGTCGTGCATTGTTGGATACTTCCAAACTTCATTTGTGTTGTGAATTGTTGAAAACTTCCAAGCTTCATTTGTGTTGTGCATTGTTGGATACTTCCAAGCTTCGTTTGTGTCATGATTTCTTCATTCCCCTGAGGTGTTGCCCCATGACAACGTTACATAGAGAGATGTTACATAGACATCATTACATAGACAGACAACGTTACATAGACATCATTACATAGACAGACATTTGAAACTGAGTTGCCATTTAGTAGGATTCTTGATTGGTGGATGTTATGACCCATGGTTTGTTTTTGAGTAAATACTGGGAGGGTGTGCATCTGTTGGGGCCACGAACTTCAAGATCAGTTAAGAGCTCGGTTTCCAAGTACACTGGCCAGTATACCTGGCACACGATGGCCTGAAACCCAGCTTGTGACACCTTGCTCTAAGATGTGATTTAAAAGCATTCTTGTAAAGTAAGATTTTGAAGCATTGTTCTAAGATGTGGTTTATCTGCAGCACCAGATGGATCCCAGCAACAACTTTGGCAGCTACAGGTCGTGTCTGAAGGCAGCCATGTGGAGATCTCAAGGTGCAGCTGAGGACAGAGAGAAGGTATGATATTGTTGTCATCCAGCACTCATCAGTTACAGCACAGACACTCATCAGCTACAGCAAAGACACTCATCAGCTACAGCACAGACACTCATCAGCTACAGCTCAGACACTCATCAGCTACAGCACAGACACTCATCAGCTCCAGCACAGAAACTCATCAGCTACAGCACAGACACTCATCAGCTACAGCACAGACACTCATCAGCTACAGCACAGACACTCATCAGCTCCAGCACAGAAACTCATCAGCTACAGCACAGACACTCATCAGCTACAGCACAGAAACTCATCAGCTACAGCACAGACACTCATCAGCTACAGCACAGACACTCATCAGCTCCAGCACAGAAACTCATTAGCTACAGCACAGACACTTATCAGCTACAGCACAGACACTCATTAGTTCCAGCACAGACACTCATCAGCTACAAAACCATTGAATGTCTGTTGATACTGACCACTGTCATGACTGAATGATTACTGGTTTGGTATAAAGGGATTACTGATTTGGTAGCACAAGAAGGGAGTCACCAGTGAAGGACTAAGAACAACTGTAGATAGATTACTGGTAAATGACTTCATAGAACATAAAGAATCAAATGGTTTGGTCATCTGGTCAGACTGGAACAAAATCAGCCAGGAGTTAGAGCACATTACATGAGAACAGCAGGTCACAAGGCAAGAGGCTGACCAAGAAAGAGATGGGCAGACGCACTAAAAGAGACACTACAGACTCGCAGTATGACATTAACACAAGCTTCACAACCACAACAAGATAGTTGCCTGACTTTACAGCGTAAGCAGTAGGACAAAATAAGAAGACTGATTTGGTATTGAGTGATTACTGATTCAGTATTTTATCATCACTAATTCAGAACTACGTAATTAGTGATTTAGTATAAAGTGATTACTGATTCAGTATCAAGTAATGCAGATGAATACTGATAAAACTACAGATGTGTCCCCTTCTGTTTCTGCAGATTGTGATCCCTTTCTTCAGCTTGTTTGTCAAAGATCTGTACTTCCTGAATGAAGGCTGCTGCAGCAGACAGGAAGATGGCTCTGTCAACTTCCACAAATGTTGGCAGATGGCAAAGCAGATCTCAGATCTCATCACCTGGCAACAAGTGGAAGTAAGAGGTTCAATAAATAATATTAAGAAATGCAGCATGGGTTGTGTTCCCATTGTGGTCACTCCCTGATGTCTGTATATCCAAGTGTAACATTCACTTCGGTTGCTCCTAAATGTTCAGATGTAATATTTAATTAGTTATTCCTAAATGTTCAGATGTAATATTTAATTAGTTACTCCCAAATATTCAGATGTAATATTTAATTAGTTTCTCCTAAATGTTCAGATGTAATATTTAATTAGTTACTCCCAAATATTCAGTTGAAATATTTAATGAGTTTCTCCTAAATGTTCAGATGTAATATTTAATTAGTTTCTCCTAAATGTTCAGATGTAATATTTAATTAGTTTCTCCTAAATGTTCAGATGTAATATTTAATTAGTTCCTTTTTAATGTTCAGATGTAATATTTTAATTATTTACTCCTAGATGTTAAGACGTAATATTTAATTAGTTTCTCGCAAATGTTCAGATATAATATTTAATAGTTACTTCCAAATAATCAAATGTAATATTAATGAAAGAGTTACTCTTAAGTGTTTTATTTAAGCATTTGATTGTGATATTCCAAAATGTAACATTCCGTTGCACCAGAAAAAAGCTACTGCGGCCACAGTTTCATTCTGTGGGTTCCTAGTTTAGCTGTGTAGGACTTGCGTCTTTGTAAGAACCCGTCTACACAGCCACACTTAGACAGCTCACCAGCTCTAAGTTCAGAAATGAATTTTGGTGTATGAAATACTTTCATTTGACTATATTCATGCTTCAAGTGTTGGCTACTAGAGTAACAGCCTCGAAAAATACATCTGATGACAAGGTATAATTTAAAAGGCAAGAAAAACCCATTTTCTAGCATTTGTATTGTATTTATGTTTCCTGATTACTTTCAGTGTCCATTTGGCAAGATTCCCTCTGTTATCAACTACATCCTGACAACACCCATCTATAAGGAGACTAGTGAGTACAGTTAGCTGTAGCCAATCAGTCAGTTATTCTACCAAAGACAGCCAGTGTACAGTTAGCTGTAGCCAATCAGTCAGTTATTCTACCATAGACAGCCAGTGTACAGTTAGTTGAAGCCAATTAGTCAGTTATTCTACCATAGACAGCCAGTGTGTACAGTTAGTTGTAGCCAATTAGTCAGTTATTCTACCATAGACAGCCAGTGTGTACAGTTAGCTGTAGCCAATCAGTCAGTTATTCTACCACAGACAGCCAGTGTGGTACAGTTAGTCATAGCCAATCAGTCAGTTATTCTACCATAGACAGCCAGTGTACAGTTAGTTGTAGCCAATCAGTCAGTTATTCTACCATAGACAGCCAGTGTACAGTTAGCTGTAGCCAATCAGTCAGTTATTCTACCATAGACAGCCAGTGTACAGTTAGCTGTAGCCAATCAGTCAGTTATTCTACCATAGACAGCCAGTGTACAGTTAGCTGTAGCCAATCAGTCAGTTATTCTACCATAGACAGCCAGTGTACAGTTAGCTGTAGCCAATCAGTCAGTTATTCTACCATAGACAGCCAGTGTACAGTTAGCTGTAGCCAATCAGTCAGTTATTCTACCATAGACAGCCAGTGTACAGTTAGCTGTAGCCAATCAGTCAGTTATTCTACCATAGACAGCCAGAGTGTACAGCTGATTGTACTTGATGATAGCAGTTCCAGTTGTGGAGTTCAGAAAGAAGGACAGTTTTTTTTTTTGTTCTTTTTGGAAAAGACCATTGCAGATTAAACAGGGCTTTGAGTGTGTTTAAACTGAGTGCTAGAAAATTCGAATCTGTTGGGTTTTCCCTTTACCTTTCATATATTTATGAGAGATTTACATGAGCACAGTGTGTTAGTGTGTTTATAAATTCGCACCCATACACACCAACATCTGCTGAGAGAGACAGAACCCGGAGTGCCTGGTGTAGATTTAGTTAACTCATATTAAGAAATGATTACAAAGTGCACCACTTTAGAAATACCACTGGAATACCTAAATCCTAGATGGACTGTTTTCAATATTGAATAATTAACTGTGAATTGTATTAAGTCTTATGTTTTTACACATTTACTACAAGATTTCATGTTCCAGTGCTGTCATGTGGCAACTGAAAAAATATCTGTGACAATTTCACTGTTGTCTTTGACATCAACTGAAGACATTATCTATGAATATTTCAGTGTTGTCTCTGACATTCAGTAACCCTTTGCCCACGGCATGCCTCTAATCAAACATAACTGTCTGTTACAAATCCCTGTAAATGTTGCTTAACCAGCATGGTACAGTGACTTGTCTCAGAGAAGCCTAGTTAAAGGCTGTGACTCTCTCCTGCCCCTGTATTCAGGAGGCCCATGATATAATTATATGTACTAAAAATTGCATTTATGAAGGGTTTTCTTGTTTACAACCCCCCCCCCCCCCCCCCCCCCCCCCAGTGCTGATGTCATAATGTATCTTAACCTGGTAGTCATTTAGTGAAGGGTCAAGTATAATGAGTAACCATTCACATTTATCTTAGACCCATGGGGGCCTACAAATCCATTTAATTTTCCACTCAGTTTGTATTTATTGATTACTCCCCTTTCCCCTTCCTAAACAACACAGAATTATGACTAAAATATTACCCATGTAAAATGGTTTAAAAAAAATATTTTTTAATGGAAAAGGGGGGGGGGGGGGGGGGGGGGGGGGGGGGTTGGATTCTTAAGAGGTTTTTCCGGAGGTTTGCCGAGTGAAAGAGTTAATAAATGCAATGTCTGTAAATATTTCAATGTTAGCTCTGACATCATCTAAAGACATTGTTTATGAATATTTCAGTGTTGTCGCTGGCATCCTATGAATGTGAAGCTCCAGACACAAGCTATGACAGGGAGAGATTTAAGCAGCTCAAGTGAGTTCCAGCCTTTACAAACATTTTTTATTTATTAAAAATAATAACCCTGGTTTGGTGTTGAAGCGTGGGTCAGCACCCCCACCTTTGTAAACTTCATCTCTTCATGAAACAGATGTCTAAGTCTAGGCAGAGTCAGACCCTTTTCAGATACCATCTGGTTTTTAGCAAGGTGATGCTCTGTCCCTTCTTCTTGTCAAATAACATCTGGTTTAAAGCAAGGTGATGCTCTGTCTCTTCTTCTTGTTAAATAACATCTGGTTTAAAGCAAGGTGATGCTCTGTTCTCTAAAATGGGACTAGTTATTGAAAAAGATAAGACAGAATACATGATAATAACTAGAGAGGGAAAGGATATAAAAGGAAAAAGATATAAACTCCAGCCTTATACAAGTCGATAATATGAAAATCAAATGAACGGAAACATTTAAGTACTGTGCAAACTTCAACTGCTCCAACATGCTGAGAGAAGAAATATAATCTAGAAATAAAGTATTCTATGCCCTTCAACATCTGCTAAATTCAAAGTGTCTGTCTCGCAACACCAAGATCAAAATATTTAACTGTGATAAAACCAGTCATTTAATATGGCTCTGAAACTTGGAGCACAACTAAAAGAGATGAAGCCCTATTATAGGTTTTTGAAAAAAGAGTCTTATGACGAACCTTTGGACCCATCAAAGATGCAAACAGTGGGGAATGGAGAGTGAGAACAAACAACAAAATTCCTAATCTGTTTAAATCACCACTGATCACTGGCATCATGAGTGCTAATAGACTGAAATGGTTGGGGCATATTGAAAGAATGTCAGATGACAGAAGTAAAAACTGTTTACAAAAGGGAGAGGAATGGCCATAGACCACAAGGCAGACCAAGACAATGATATCCAGACAGACCTTCAAACACTTGGTATCAACCAACTGGAAAGAGAAGGCCAACTACAAAGATGAATGGAGGTGGGTGATATCCGCAGCAATGAACCGCAGGGGCTCAGAATGCTGAAGTAGAAGAAAAAGAAGAATAAATGATGTCTTTGCACTCTGGACAGATCCATCTCTTGCTGTGACAAGAAAGGCCAACTGTGGATGTTGACTGCTTCTTTTGCAAGTTGGATAGTTATGTTTCATAGCTATCCCAATGACAAGGCCAATACCCAACTCCTGATTGCAATAATCGGTTGTCCCCTGCAAACAAGTTTACCTACATACTGAGGCCTAGAATAGCAGTCATTGATACCACAACTTTTTATTCTCAACTTTGCAAAGCATGGAGCCAGAGACAGCCATCAAAAATACTTTCAACAAACAATGAAGACATTGAAAATAAACAGTTACCATCTCTTAGTGACCACAGCCAATAAAACATGGACATGGTTTCTGTGAATGTTTTTGCAGATGTATGGATATTTGTTAGCTATATCATAGAAACTCAAGGAAGGTGTCTAATTGATTAGTGTCTGCTTGAAAAGAAAAAAGGGAGAATATTTGGAAATTTATGAGGTAATGTGGTAATTACCTGCAGCTGCTCAACCGTCTGGCATAGATAATGATACCCCCTGCAACGTGTCCATTCCCTGGCACTGTTTAAATGTGTTAAACATTGAAAAGGAAGAAACTGTACCATTCACAAGCAGATATACACACAAGAAACGGCCTGAAATAATTGAACAAGACATCAGAAAAGCAATCCGTTGCAGTCAAAACAATAAGCCTGCTGGTGTTGATGGAATTACAGCTGAGACTACAGACCTGTGGAGAAACTGAAGTCACCTGGCTACTTCCTATATTTGGGAAAACCAGGAATTAAAGAACTGTACCAACAGACTGACAAAGAGCCACTATAGTACCTGTATGGAAAAGAAAAGGCAATAAGCAAGACTGTAACATTTATAGAGGCATCTTCTTTTTAGGCCATGTGGGTCAAACGTTTCCCAAGATTCTGGAACAAATTAGATCTGTTGTAGAACCGATTCTGAGCCCAGCACAGGTCGGGTTCAGGAAAGGGAGAGGGTGTATGACTCTATTTTCGCCCGAAGGGGAATTAGCGAAGAGACAATAGAACACAGACACCGAATGAAAGCCGCTTTTTTAAATCAAGAAAAGGCTTTTGACGGAGCAAACAGAGATTTACTATGGGTTGTCCATAAAATCTATGGTATAAATGGAACAGTGCTAGATTGTGTAAGAGCTATTTATAGAAAAAGTGAAAACGATGTCAGAACAAGCGCTGGCCTCACAGACTGGTTCCCAGTAACATCAGAACAAGAGCTGGCCTCACAGACTGGTTCCCAGTAACATCAGAACAAGAGCTGGCCTCACAGACTGGTTCCCAGTAACATCAGAACAAGAGCTGGCCTCACAGACTGGTTCCCAGTAACATCAGAACAAGCGCTGGCCTCACAGACTGGTTCCCAGTAACATCAGAACAAGAGCTGGCCTCACAGACTGGTTCCCAGTAACATCAGAACAAGAGCTGGCCTCACAGACTGGTTCCCCAGTAACATCAGAACAAGCGCTGGCCTCACAGACTGGTTCCCAGTAACATCAGAACAAGAGCTGGCCTCACAGACTGGTTCCCAGTAACATCAGAACAAGCGCTGGCCTCACAGACTGGTTCCCAGTAACATCAGAACAAGCGCTGGCCTCACAGACTGGTTCCCAGTAACATCAGAAACAAGCGCTGGCCTCACAGACTGGTTCCCAGTAACATCAGAACAAGCGCTGGCCTCACAGACTGGTTCCCAGTAACATCAGAACAAGCGCTGGCCTCACAGACTGGTTCCCAGTAACATCAGAACAAGCGCTGGCCTCACAGACTGGTTCCCAGTAACATCAGAACAAGCGCTGGCCTCACAGACTGGTTCCCAGTAACATCAGAAGTAAGGCAAGGGCGTGTTCTTTCACCTTTACTTTTTGTAATATTCATGGACAATATTAATAAAATAGACATAACACCACCAGACGTCGATAAACAGGAGGACTTCAATGAGCTGCTTTTTGTCGATGATCAGTGCATATTCGACAGTGAAAGTAAATGTTGAATGTTGTCAGACAACAGAAACACTGGCACTCAAAAAGTCAACATTGATGCAAAAGTACAAGTAGATATCAGACGTGGTCAAAGAATAAAAGCATATAAAATATGTAGAATCTAGCACTCTTATAGATACTATCATATGTGTTGGGGGGAAGAACTGATTGTAAAGTGCTAGTTTGTAACTTCTGGCTTGTCAAAGTTCATGTCTGAATTCACTGTAAACTAAGCACTAACAGGTTTTACCTCAGTGTTTACAGCTGTAGGGTCTAAATAAGTTATTGCAATTGCTTCAGCGATATTTTGTGTCACATCTAAAAGTATGAGACTACCTACATTGATGATCAGTGCTGTCTTGTTGTCTGTCCAGGTCTCAAACCACCATCACATCTTTGTAGCCACATTGAGAACCAGAGAGTCCTGCAGGTTCCCACCTTAGACAAGCATCCACATGAAGGTTCCAGAGCTCTTCAATCACCATGTATGGGATCATCCCTGAACCTGATGCCACGCTTTCTGGCAGCGCTGGTGCCAACTGATTGTGTCAGCAACTATCTGTGATGTCTGGGGAAGTGTCTTAGGAATTCCTCAAGCAGGATCCTGTGAACAGATTTGTGAAAACTTCTTACCAATAACTGTTTTTGATCTGTGCAGAAAAATTGTCTCACAAATTCCATGAACAAGATCCAGTGACTGTTCCCATTTGTGGACTCATGTTGCCAGCTCCCATTTGTGGACTCATGTTGCCAGCAAGTGTTTTGGATCTGTGCAGAATGAGCTGATGGATTCCTTGAAGGGACATAGTGAACAGATTGTGATCTGCTGTCAGAATAACTTATTATCATCAGTTGATTGGTGATGGTTGAAAAAAAAACATTACTTGAATTGAGTTAGATGTACTGGTTATCTACAAATGTTTATTTAAATATATTGTTATCTACAAATGTTTATGTAGATGTCTACAAATGTTTATGTAGATGTATGAGTTATCTATGAATATTTATATAGATATATGAATTATCTGTGAATGTTTATGCAGATGAATGGATATTGTTTCAGAGTCGTCTCCTCGTTGGGTGCAATTTTTTGTTATTTGAAGCCCCACCCCGGCTTATGCCGGGGGCCCTGAATATAGCCGGGGCATAGATATGGCCTAACGGTTGAAAAGGGTTTCTGGGACCTCTCCACAGGTGGTTCTCATCCACATGGTGGCACTTTGTGTCACCGGGTGTTTATCGCTTTTATGATGTTCTGGTGGGGTACAACTACCTACCTACCTACCATGTATCTAGTATCTATGAATGTGTAATTATCATCACTAGGACAAATATCTAAATATGTTATCGTGATGCTGTGCATAAGTGGAGATAGTGATTCAGGAAAATGATGAGAAGTGATTCCACCACACATGGCTCATCACAGCTCTACTGGTGCAAGATGTGATTCCACCACACATGGCTCATCACAGCTCTACTGGTGCAAGCTGTGATTCCACCACACATGGCTCATCACAGCTCTACTGGTGCAAGCTGTGATTCCACCACACATGGCTCATCACAGCTCTACTGGTGCAAGATGTGATTCCACCACACATGGCTCATCACAGCTCTACTGGTGCAAGATGTGATTCCACCACACATGGCTCATCACAGCTCTACTGGTGCAAGCTGTGATTCCACCACACATGGCTCATCACAGCTCTACTGGTGCAAGCTGTGATTCCACCACACATGGCTCATCACAGCTCTACTGGTGCAAGCTGTGATTCCACCACACATGGCTCATCACAGCTCTACTGGTGCAAGCTGTGATTCCACCACACATGGCTCATCACAGCTCTACTGGTGCAAGATGTGATTCCACCACACATGGCTCATCACAGCTCTACTGGTGCAAGCTGTGATTCCACCACACATGGCTCATCACAGCTCTACTGGTGCAAGCTGTGATTCCACCACACTGCTTTA